TGAATATTCAAGAACTTTCTAAATATATACTTTTGGCTTATTTATAATACAGTAAAGAAATTTTCAAAAGAAAATAAATTATGTAAATCTTTTCCAAATCTATAAAATGTGATATATGAGATATTCAAATATAAATATATATTGTTCATAAATACATGAACAAGTGTACTCAGATTCAGTTGGAAAAAAACTTTTGGAATGAGGCCATATGAATGATTCTTCTAAAGCCTGCCTTACAAAGCTAGGTGACTAAGTAACGTTATCCCCAAGTTCCACTAACATGACTCCACAGGTTTCAATGTTTACTCTTGTATTTAGAACACATCAGTCAAAATATTAACACTCTTTTCTAATGAGTTTCTCATTGCAAGAAAAGTCCATCTAAACAAGTATAGCTCAAGGCATTTAAATAATTCTCCATGGTACTCTAGGGCCTCTGTGTTATCCAATGGATGATATTTTAGTACAACAATGAAATGGTCCATGTTTCTTCTTATTATCATCCATCATCCAATAGCTATAAAGTCGCCAGCTGTTTGGAAAAAAAGAGAACTAAATCAGTCCTCTACAGCTGCAAAGAGAAGAAAGCTTAAGATCTCCTTTTCTCTTAATTTCTGGGATCTCAGCAGTCTGGAGTCAAAGTACAGTTCTCCTTGCCACAAAATCCTATCCCTGTAAACATGTCAAGCAGCACATAGCCATGATTGATTTTTGTTGTTATTGGGGAAGAACTGTATGTGGGAGAAACAGTAGAGGTGACTGAGATAACACAGTTTCATAATAACAGCAATGTTAAGTTGGGTTTACCAGATCCCAGAGTGGCTACCATACTTTTTAATCCTCACAGTAACTGCAGAAGTAGATATTATCCTTGTTTTATTAGGAATCTGAGGTTCAGTGAGACTGAGTAGTTTAGTAAAAGCTTGGTAAGCCATGTTTAGGTCAATTTGACTGCAGTGTTAGGGTCTTAACCATGGCATTGTTCTGCCGTCCACCAAAAGGTACAGTTGAGGAAAAATGGAACTGGGGAAGGCCAACTGGGAAATGGGGAGGAGGGAAACATGGAGAAGGTGATACTACTTTAAAAGACACATGAAGAGGGCTGGGGATGTAGCTCAGTGGAAGAGGGCTTGCCTAGCATGAGTGAGGCCCTGGGTTCAATCAGCTGTACATCTCCCCCCTCACACAAAAAAGGACACATAACACTGCCAATTTGTATACCTTCTCCCAAAGAAAGGAAATAACCCTAAAATCTTAGATAGCTTAAGAAGTAGTCCAAGAATCATTTCCACGAACTTTGCCAATTCATTATCATCAACCATCAAGAATTCTGTACCATAAAATCAGATTTCACTTCATTAATTAATTTTTCATCCTAGAAAGAGTATTACAAGCAGATGAATTGGCTCAGTCTGTAAAGGCTCAAATTTAGTGAGGACCTGAATTGAATCACCTGAGGGGCTTGTTAAACACAGAGTCCTGGGCCCCACCTTTAGAGTTTCTGATTCACTAAGTTTGGGGTAGCATCTGAGAATTTAAATTTCTCACAAGCTATCAGTCAATGCTGATGCTGTTGGTTCATGGGCCACACTTTGAGAGCCACTAATATAGATAAAAGATGTGTTAAATAAAGTTTGATTTGTATATACACACTTACGACAAGCTGACCTGTCAAAGAATAACATTTCTTAAGAGGCTACCTTCCATTCTGTAGACATAATTTGTGAATCCTGTTATTTACAGAGGTATACATAAAATGAATGGTGTCCACAGACAAACATGGGAATGCAGGTGACTTTACAGGTGTTTTACAAAAGATTATGCTTATAATGTGCACTTTGCTCAGCTTTGCAATTTTAGAAATAAAAAACTTCATATTCAAAAGAAGTGATCACTTCAAAATTTAAAACAGATCAAACATCTCTAACCCCAAAATCCAGAATCTGAAATCCTCCAAAATCTGCAAATTTGGAGTGCTGATATGATGCTACAGGTGTAAAATTCTACACCTGACCTTATGTGATGGGTTGCAGTCAAAACACAGATGCAGTAAAAAATAATGTATAAAATTACCTTCAGCCTATGGGTATAAGATGTATATGAAACAAATCAATTTTGTGTTTAGATTTGGGTTCCATTCCCAAGATATCCCACTGAATATATGTAAAAATATTCCAAAATCTGAAAAGTTCTTAAATCCAAAACACTTCTGGGTCCTAAACATTTCAGATAAGGGATACTCAACCTGTACCAGTACTTTGCAATTCAGAAAAATATAGATAAAAATAAAATTGCTCTTAAGCTTAGGGGTGGGAAAAAATCTGAAACCAAAATTACTCATATTTTGAACCATTGCCTCTAGTGGTCCAGGTGCTTTTGGCTTTTTTTTTTTTTTTTTTTTTTTTTTAAGAGAGTAGAGAAAGGATTCTCATGGAACTGGATCCCTGGAAGCTGACAGTCTTGGCACTTAGCCTGTTTTTTATTGTTTTCTATCCCTTACCTTGTCCTAGTTCCAGGTTTGGCTGGGCTTGGCCTAGCACTGGCACCTGTTTAGTTATAGCACAAAGGACTACTACCACCGCTGCAGAAGATGAAAACTGGGTAGAAATACATCAGAAAACTAGTATTATTTAATAGGAAATTGCTTTCAATTTCAAAGCAGCCTGAGATCAGTAAGGAAATGAGGTTCCCATTCCATATGGTCTTTTAGAATGAAGACTTCTCACTCAAACATCCTTTTAAAATGGAAAAGCACTCAATATCTAATCCCTTTTACTTTGTTGTTCAGCTGCTTCCTTGAGTTGGTAATTTTCTTGCCAGCAGAATGTTGTATAAGAAAATTTTATTTTAAGGATTTTACAAAAGTCTGTTTACTTTGAGTAATTACCCCTTTTTTTTGTTTAATAGAATAAAGAGAAACTTCTAGAATTTTCCCTTTCAGCTTTAGAAAATACTGCTAACTCTTTGAAAGTTTACACCCAGAGAACTTATTTAAAAAGAGAAAAAAGAAACAATAATTTTTAAATGCATGCTCATGAATGTTTTATAAAGCTCTTGAGAACCCTAATAATTTAGTCTGATTGATCAGAGCTATTTAGGTTGTCTCAGGCCATTCACTGCACAAATATTTACTGAGGGCCTATTCCATGCCATATGATGGGGGCCCCCAGTCTTGTGTCTGTCCTTTTTCTCAGCACTCTATTCTGAAGTGGACCTGTAAGGCGTGGATTATAACATACAGTTGAAACAAAAGGCCTTCTTTCATGCATTCACCAAAATACAGTGGCAGAAATTTATGAATCCTCTACCTCACACAGGCTTTCTAGTTTTCAGTCTAGTATATGTCTCCATGAATGTCTGGGTTATTTCCTATTTGAGTCATACCTGAACCCAATTAAACAAGATACACTAAATTATTCTGCTTTTTATTTGAAGCAGCATAATTTCTTTCTTTCATTTTTTTAAACCAGAGATTGAACCCAGGGGCACTTAACCACTAAGCCACATCCCCATGCCTTTTTTATTTTGAGATAGGGTCTTGCTAAGTTACTTAGGCCCTCTTAAAGGTGCTGAGGCTAGCTTTGAACTTGAGATCCTCCTGCCTTAGCCTCCTGAGTCGCTGATTACAGGTGTGTGCCAGTGCACAATTTGGCAGAAGCAGCACAATTTCAAAGTTCTTTCAGTGTCTGGAAACTAGCAGGTATTTGTTGCATGAAAGCTTCATTTTCTTCAACTTTGGGAGCCTTAGATTCACTAGAAGTAATAGATTGATTCTGCTTTTGTTACTCCCTGGCCACTGTCTTAGCATTTGCCAGGAACTCATTTGAGTTCCCCCACTGCTGCCCTGTGCCCTGCACACAGCCCAGCCAGCACATGCTGTGCTGCTGATCAGCTTTAGTCCATGGACCCTGGTGATCTTACTCTATATTAAGGATGGGAAAAGGAGGAAGGAGTGTGGATTCTGTTCTTCAGGAAATGCAATAAGGATACACTGAGGCCTTTTAAACTTAATTTTGTCTTTGCTTTGTTTTGCTCAGAAATATCAGAGCAACATATAAGATTAAAGAATTAGAGTGATCTCCTACTTTTCTTCTCCTCGACTAATCTCTATCCATAGTTCTGGATGTATCCTGACAAAGTGGTTGCTGTCTAGGTCATTGTTTCTTTTTTTGAGGATGAGGTGAGACAATGACACTAATTTCTCATTATCTTCCTATTCCTACATTGCTATCATTCAATAAAACTCCTACTGAGCACCTGCTCCTGACTCAGGTGACATACTTATTGGTCCCAAGGATGTGAAGATCATGCAGTCCCTGTCTTCAGGAAGTTCATGGTTTCATGGAGGATGCAGATAAGAAAAAGTCCAGAGGAAAGCACAACATGTATGAACATAGAAGAAAGACAGGTTAACTCTGTCTTAGGATGAAGAAGGGTCAGACTGGTCTTCACAGAGAATTATTATTTGGACAGCAAGACACCAGGCATTAAATTGAGGTTCTTGCTTTCCCCACTTGAAAATCTACTCAACAGTGGCTCTACCTCACACAAGCTTTTTAGTTTGCAGTCCCTAGTCCCCATTTACCGTCAAAGCTGGTTTCTACCTCACACAAGCTTTCTAGTTTGCAGTCTAGTCCCCATTTACCATCAAAGCTGGATTCAATGTGACAATGTCACTAATGTAATTATGTTGACCTCTCCCTACTGCTCATCTTAGGCTTTATATCTGAAGGTCATGGCACTGAAAATTGGCATGGGTGTTTTCCAAGAAATCTAGCTATCACATTTGACTATAATTCTAAAATTAATTCTAAAATTGAAGATTAAAAAACAAGTTAATAAGTACTTTATAGGATGGGTATGAGGAGTGATTCAGCAGAGGAAGAAATAAGAAGCTCTGTTAGACATATACCAAATCTCAGGGAACTTAAACTACCACTATCCGAGGTTGAAGGTAACTTATGACTTGCTTTTCTTAGAGGAGCACTTGAGTTACCTACCACATGGAATGCTCCTGGGGCCTTGACCGGTCTGAAGCCATCAACAGGTATACAGTGATCCGCATGGCCATTGCAGAAGCAGCTGCCCTTGACAATGAAATCATAGATTGCATAGTGGGTAAAATGTTGAGGCTTTGCATTCAGGTCATTTTTCTGGCAGGGACAAGACTGTCGTTTTAGCAGCTGCACACGGAGGTTGGTGATCTTCAGCTGTTCCTGAACTTTGGCACTATAAGGGTTCTCTGCATCGTACGGTGGTGACAATGCTCTGAAAATAACCTGTAAAAGAGAAACATTGTGTGTGTAGAGGACTGTGTACAAACCCTGAAATGTTTGCCCATGCAGTCTCAGTTTGATTTATACTTTTGTTATCTATGAGTGATAAGCTAGCAACAGGTTTTAAGGCCTTGATCTCACCTGGGGAAGAGCCGCCCTGTTATTCTAGGGAGCAGAAGTGTTGCCTCTTCAGGTAGAAGAAGTATACACTAAGTAACCAGCGCAGACTTGATGACAGTGACAAAGGCAGCCATTCAAAGATCTTGAGGAAAGAACATTCTGAGCAGAAGGAACATCAAGGTTAACAGCCCTTAACAAGTCAAGCTTGGCTTGGGCTGGGAACAACAAGGCCATCGACTGGAGACCAGTGACCAAGGGAAGAGTGGCTGCAGAGGACAGAAAGCATGTGCCAGACAGACACGAAGAAAGACCTTAAAGCTATGGTAAGCCAGGTGCAGTTGTCCATCCCTGTAATCCTAGCAACTCAGGAGGCTGACAGGAGGATCACAAGTTCAAGACCAATATGGCCAATTTAGTGAAACCTTGTCTAGAAAAAAATTTTAAAAGCCACGGTAGAGTTACTCTAACTGGAGTGGAAGCCACTGAAAGGTTGATTATAGGCAGAGAAGGGATCTGAGTTGTCACCTCTTCTAAAAAGAAAACTTTTTCTTTTCTTTTTTTTTGGTAGTGGGGATTGAACCCAGAGGCACTTTACCACTGAACTAAATCCCCAGTCTTTTTCATTTATTTATCTATATTTTGAGACAGGGTCTCACTAAGTTGCTGTCGGCTTTGCTAACCAGCCTTAAACATGCCATCTTCCTGCCTCAACCTCCCAAATTGCTGGGATTACAGGTATGTACCACTATACCCACATAAACAGATTAACTCACATCTGCAAATAGAATGAATTATAAAAGGTGAAGAATAGGGGCTGGGAGCATATAACTCAGTGGTAGAGCTTGTGCTTAGCTTGCTTGTGTGAGGCCCAGAACCTAAATAAATAAATGGTAAAAAATATAAACTGGAAGACCAGTCAGGAAGCAATTGCAAAATCAAGATCCAGGAACTTACGTTTCTAAATGAAGTCTGACCTTTTCAAAGATTGCTTAGTTATTAATTGGGGCTACTATTGTGGCCAATCTTTTCTAGAGTTGCCCTCCCGACTGGTAGCACATTTTGAGGATATCCTTGCTGGTGTTAAATATACTTCTCTTCGGGATGAATTTGATTTCCAAAATTAGTCAAAAGTCACTTAAAACCAAGTATAAGGAGAAAAAATGGCTGATCAAGTTAGTTAAGGGGACTTTTGATTAAATGCAAGGTTTAATTAAGTAATTTATTATGTAGGTTATAGATAGACTTTAAAGGCAACTTAACACTTTGTTTCTGAAGAGGGAAGAAGGCTGGGATGGGACAGACTTTGGCTGCTGGCTACTAGGAAGCCTTTGGGCATGTGTGTGAGTCTATGGTTTATATGGGAGTCATGAGTCAAAAGTAGGCTTTGGAAAAAATTCCATTTAGGTATAATGTATCCAAAAGGAACTTTCCAGAAAAAAATTTTTCTTTAAGAAATTCTCTGCATATAAAAATTTCATTTTAGAAATTCATTTTATACCAAAATGAATTTTATCAACCACAGTAATCAAAAGTCCATTGTATGGGATTATGTCCTCAATGTAGGGTCCACTGTATAGGAGCACATCTCCAAAACTGTACTCCATGAAATATAATGCTGAGGGAAGAAGGGACAATTCAAAGTACACTGGCCTCCATACAGTGGCCAGAATGATCCTCTACCAACATAAGCTGGATAGTTTCATTCCCTTGCTTAAACCCACTTTCCCCTGCCCACCCTCTGCCAAAGACCTCCCATTTCCTTCAGAATGAAATACCAAAGCTATATAAGGGTCCTGCCTAATTTCTGTAATAAATAACTGAATAACTAACCAGAGTATGCATTTCTATGCATTTTAAACTTGCAAAGCTTAGAAAAAAAGTTGTTTCTTAAACAATATTCCTCCCCGTTTAACCACAGGTAAAGTAGTGGAAAACAACATATTAGGGAAAAAAGTTTCTAAATAATGTCACTTAAATAAGTGATGAGAGTGGATGATTGTTTCTTTTTTTTTTATTAGTTGCTCAAAACATTACAATGATCTTGACATATCATATATCATACATTTGATTCAAATGGTGTATGAATTCTTATTTTTCCACGTGTACAGACTGCAGGATCACATCGGTTACACAGCCACATTTATACCTACTGCCATACTAGTGTCTGTTGTATTCTGCTGCCCTTCCTATCCTCTTCCTATCCCCCCTCACCTCCCCTCCCCTCCCATCCCCTCTCTACCCCATCTACTGTAACTCATTTCTCTCTCTTTTTTTCCCTTCGCCTTCACATCCTCTTATATGTAATTTTGTATAACAATGAGGGTCTCCTTCCATCTTCCGTGCAATTTTCCTTCTCTCTCCCATTCCCTCCCACCTCTCGTCCCTGTTTAATGGTAATCTTCTTCTCATGCTCTTCCTCCCTGCTCTGTTGAGTCGCCCCCCCTCCCTTATATCAAAGAAGACATTTGGCATTTGTTTTTTAGGGATTGGCTAACTTCACTTAGCATAATCTGCTGTAATGCCATCCATTTCCCTGCAAATGCCAGATGATTGTTTCTTTTAAAGACAGAAATCAGAATATGGTTTCATATTTTGAAACATTCAAAACTAAAACCAAAAAAAAAAAACCCCAAAAAACCCACAAACAAAACTACATTGAATCCGTTGTGGGCTTTAAATAGGACTTATTTTCAGTATGTCATCCCAAACACCAGTATTTCTGTTAGATATTCATGAGAAACTCTTACTCTAAATAATACAAATGATGTGGGGCCCCCCCGACCCTCTGCCCCTTTTATCAACCACAGTAATCAAGGACATGGAAAGGGTAACCCAGTGCGACTTATTCTCTGAAAAGTCTGCAGTGCACTTCTTCATGTTGTCTGCCCACCCTTCCTTTTCCTGAACACTGGTAGCAGCTGTTTGCTCTCTCTGTTCCTGTCACATATTTACCCTTGACATTTACCCTGGCTCCCTCTCCCTCCCCACCCTACTCCTCCCTCACCCTGGGAGTTGAGAGTTGTTCATGGCAGGCAGAGCTAAGAGGAAGATCTGTCAAGGTTTGGGGAAACTTAGAAGCTCTTTTGCTTCCTGGACGCAGCCTGTGGAGGCTGAATGGTGGCTCTGTGCTTGGTGTGCCTGACACCACAGTTGGCACGCTGATATCAGCAGGGGACGGACATCATGACCCCTGAGGCCGCATGCTGGAAAGGAGACAGCAGAGTGCTACAGACACAAAAGTGAACGGGAATTTAAACCATGAAATCTTTTTTCCAGAAAGGAGACGCCTTAATCTGATACCCTGGGAAGTAGATCTAGCCTGCATCAGGAAACAAAGAGCGCGCCAATGCAGATGCTTCAAAATTCTGGCAGGTCGCCCTTTGGGTCCCACCCAGGTTTTCTTCAAATGTCCCCAGTAGAAGCCTGTATGGCACTGCTAAAATGAAGTCAGATGAAGTGTAGAAGTCCTCCATAGAACATCAGCCTGTTCTGGTTTCCATCCCCAAACAGGATCTATCAATGGGCCCATTGCTGTTCCTGTGTCCCCAATTGCTTCTAAATATATACTCTCAACATGGTACCTTTAAAAAGTCAGGAACCAAGCTTTTGACTAGGATCAAGCACACTTAGATACTTCTGGCTTGTTCATGCTATTGGTCAATACTTCATGATCTTGTTTCCTTAAATTAAGTACTTTTATTATGTTTTAGTGTTCATGTTCTGCTCACTACAGAAAAAAAATCTGTCATTCAAAAAGTTCAGTGTGAACCATCCCAAAGACAACTGGGGATATGAACTTGATAATATCTTTCCATCTAAACTTCTGTGTTTATATATAAAATATGTCAGTACCTTCATATGCTTTGTGAACATTTTTCCAAGTCAATAAATTTACCTCTACATCAGTGATTCTCAAAGTATGGCCCCCAGACCAATAGCATCCCTAGCAAATTTGTTAGAAATGCAAATTATTGGGCCTTGTCCCAGATCAACTCAGCAGAAACTCTGCAGGCCTGGCCTAGTAATCAGTGTTTCAGCAGTCCTTCCAGGTGATTTTTGATGCATGATTAAGTTTGAGAAACATTACTGCATAATTTTGAAACTTGCTTAGCATTCCATCCTATGGATATGACATAATTTATTTATCCAGGCTGCTATTATTGGGCAACTAGGTTGTTTACAACTTTCCAGTGCAACCAACTACCATGAACAACTTTGAAGCTAAAATGTGGGCATATACAGTAATTTCCTAAAGATGAGTTTCCCAATGTGATACCAATAGGTCAAAAAGAAAATGGATAATTTTAAAAATGTCTGGCCTTCTGAATGAATCAGAAACAATTTCCTACTTCATCTTTGGAATCTTCACATTTTCTTGATCTTTCTTGGCTTTTCTGAGCCAGGACTCCCTTAAACTTTGCCTGAGGATCTGGATTATTGGCTCAGGCCCTGCTGTTTCTTATGCCCAAGTGTAATGAAGCAATCCTTAAAAAGTCTGGAACAAGTTAAGACTGCCTATATTGTCTTTCTTTTCTAGAATTTTTACACACACACACACACACACAAAACACACCCTCAATAACAATATTGAATAGTAAAAATAACATTCTCTGACATAAAAATTCAAACAGTATGAACACACTGTGAACAGAATAAGGAATAAATATTAGGTACATAGCAGTAAAGGAGGTCTTTTAGAATCTAACTCAGACCTTACATATTGTTCCCTATCTAAAAGTTCACTGTCTATGTTGAATCACAATAATTCAAGGAACATGGGGCTGGGGGTATAGCTCAGTGGTATAGTGCAACCTTAGCATGCACCTAAATAAGAAACAAAAACAAAGTAAACAGGAAGAAAGAAAGAAAGAAAGAAACAAAAA